CCCCAAAACCCCAAAACCCCAAAACCCCTAAGCAATAGAATATCGTAAAATATCACATCAAATTCACAAATCAATATTTAATTCATCTTCATCAATGATAACATCATCTTATTAATTTTAGATTTTCTAGTTTTTCAGATCTTACTCTTCATCACTATCCTATAAAGCATCATCAATTTCTTTTTCAAAATCATCTATATTGAAAGCCTCATCCTATTTCAATTACTAAACTTTAGCCTCAAATTAAGCTTGTAATTGTGGCGGATTTGATTCAATGCTCTTATTAACATTTGAAGTAGCACTAACCAAATTGCGTTACTATTTTTCACCACTAAGGTTTTAATTCTCAACTATTTTCATTGTATGAATCTCCTTGAGCTCAGTATCTTATTTTACAACACCTTTTTCTAGCAGCTGTGTTTAAGACACGTATATTTCTTCATTTTTTATTGGGTCACCTAATCTATTCACCAATCCTAATTAAGCTTTGATAATTTCGATGTTGTAGAAATAGTTTCGCCAGAAGTCATCTTCTTCAACTAAGTCAGGAACCAAATCATTCATAACCATATTCAAAGTTGGATCTATCCTTAGCATTATCTATGCAACATACAAATATCTATCAAAGTCAAAATCATATTCAAACTCAATCTATTGAGAACTCAACTTTTAGACATCCTAAATGATTTTAATCTATTAACATAATTCATACCTGTGATAATTTCAATACCTCTTATTTCACGATTTATTCGATTCCCTGTCTGCTATTTTGCATATCCAAGCCCCACCATGGAAGCATTATCAATCGATTGTTATGAGCACTCTCCGAATCTTGATCAACTGATGATTCTGCCAAGAGCTTGAAAGCTTTCTCAATAATTTCTGAATCTTCTTGACCCTCCTCAAAGTCCTTGCTAGTCTTTATTTTATCAAGAAATTCATCTAATTATTATTATCTATTATATATCTTACCTATCTCATTTTATTTTGATATTTTTTCAACTTCTTATTATAACTTTTGAGATTCCTCGTTGATGTAAATCTTTATCTCTTCAATCTTTTAAGTAATTTGGTTTTTTAGCGAATTTGCAATTGAGGAAAAGTAATTCATTAAAATATTTATAATAATAAATTTAAATGTTTATTAAATCAAGAAATGTTTCAAATTTCAATCACTTCTATTCGAGTCTTGCTTTGATGATTGCGAATGCTTTTGAATATTGCTCTTGCTAATATCAATTTATGAATTTGACTATTCCTGGTACTGAGGAATGCTTTGTAAATGCTATGTGCTATAAAGATGCAGCTATTAACTTATTTTTATCAGCTGTGGTATTACCAACTCTAGTTATCATACTCTTTATTCTGATAAGCTTTTGTGTTCGCAAAAGAATCATGATTGAAAACTATGAAAATGATTCTAAGCTCAAGTAAATTAGAGCAGTATTCGATTCACATAATGATAATGATGATTCAGATCCTGATGAGCCTAGTGCTGCGATTGCATATCTTAATGAAGTTAGAATGATTGAAGATCAAGACAATAAGTTATTTGCAACAACTGCAGATCTAAAAAATAAAAATAGAAGGCACAATCATATTTAAAACAAGGCAGAAACTGACATTGATTTAGCAAAGCCTCATATGCCAGAATTCTCATATAGAAGAGGTTTGAGGTTAGATGATTTAATCTTTGAAGCTCATAAGAATTAGTATAAGGAAGTTATTCGTTAGAGAATTCTAGCATAAAGAGAAGAGATAAAAAAGCAGCTAGAAAAAATATAGCTTAAAAAGGAAGAGGGTTCTAACACAGCTCTCTAACATATACAAATACAAGATCAGAGCATAGATAAACTCTAAAGTGCAAACAATCCTATTGCTAAGAATATTAGTAAATCTTCTTTAAAGAAAAAGAGGTCTAGATAAAAGTTAGGCAAACAAGTCAAATTTGATTAGAGACAGGGTATGGAAAGCTATTTGAATAAAAGTGATGCCTTCAAAAGCTACTTCTTGTAGAATTCACTTAAGGCCCAGCATGATTTGGATGATGAAAGTTTAAATGAAAGTGAAACTGTGTTTAGAATGGAAGGAGTGATAAACAATAGTAAATTTATCAACTCAAATTCTGATTTTAGCAATGACTAATTCAATTACTGAAAGATTGATTGGAAATCGATTTTATCAAAAAATAATGTCACATTGCGTTATGGGGTTTTGGGGTTTTGGGGTTTTGGGG